ACCCAGCCACAGGGCGGGTTGCTCCCAGCAGCGAGGGGCCAGGGAAGCCCCCTCATGGCTCCCCTTGGGGAGGAGGAGGAAGAGCAGAGCAGAGGCTGCACCGCTCCACTCAGCGCCGGGTTTCGGGTCTGCAGGTACCACCGCTGTCCTGCACACACACTTCCACATTAAACCCCGCCACGGGAGCTCTGACTGCTGAGAGTTTGGTTATCTGTTGGGTTTTGATCTCATTTTGACGGTGCCTGGCGATGGTGAAGGTCAGAAGAAGGCAGCTCGCTCTGCCATGGATAACCCATGAGCCCCGGGGTGGACACCCCCTCCCATTTCACCCCAGTTAGAACCAAACTGGGCTGCCCATGCCCAAACCCTGCGCCGGCCCTGACCCCAGCGTGGCCCTGGGAAGCCTGAGCAGAGACACCCCGAGCCAAAGGCCATCCCGGCAGCGTCACCGACACCGGCCACCGCTGCGGGAAACCCGATCCTTTTGCCATTTAAACTGTACGCGAGTCAGTAACGCTGCCCACATTCATTTCTAAATATAAGGGCAACCTGAAGTTGTAAGCACAATTTGGCTGCCCCGCTTGCGAGGCTCGGATCTGAACACGAGCGCCACGAGCGGTGCCACTGTGGACGAGAACCGGCGGGGATTTGACAACGGCCACATTTTTGTTTGACACCGACTGCCCAGACAGCCTCAACACTGGGATGGTCCAAGACAGTTTAATCACCGGTGATTTAGAGGATATGGGTTTGCAAAGTGACAGCACGGGAGGTCCCCAAAGTGGGGTCCCCGCTTCTGGCATCCACCGGGCCGCCCGAGCGCCAGCACCGCCAGGGACGGAGGCAAACCAGGGGCAAGACATCACCGCCCTATGAGACACAGGGTCGCCAGCTGCGTGGCTGCAGCCGCGGAGGAGATGATGGATGCTGGACGGTGTCCAAAGCCCTGGATCCCTCCCCGCTCCGCAGAGCTCCCAAACCAGGCGCGTTTTGCCACAGCCCGTGCACCGTCCTCGCGAGAGGCAAACGGGAGCTGCGGCTGCTCCGGCTGCGAGAGGACGCCCGCTGGCACGAAGGGAACAACGCGAGGACACTGCAGGTCAGAGCCTGTTTTTATCATTTAACCGATGCTGTAAGGCAACCGTGCCCAACGTGTGTGCCATGAGGCAGCGCTGGCGTAGCTGCCGTGCTTGGGTGACGAGCGGGACACGCTCACATGGCCCAGAGCCTGTGCCAACCTCCTGCTAATAAAAGAGTCACCCACCAGCTCTTGTGACTGCAGCGAACTTTCCAAATGCCAGAGCAAAGCTGGTGCAGAGAGGTCCCCTTGCGTCAGGCTCTGATTTAGAGCCTTGCCCTTCTGTTTCCTAATTACCCCCGGATTATTAATCCTGCAGAGGTTAACGCTGACAGCCGTAACAGCCACTGCGGGCTTTGCTCCGTGAGCATCTGAACGGTGGGAGAAGAAGGGGACATTGGGAGGAGCAGAAAAGGTGTTGAAAGTGAAACGCAACGGATTAAAACTTTTTACAAGGAGAAATACACGGAGGAATGAGGGGAGGGAAGGAAAAGAAAGTTGCACTGCAAAGGAATGATAATAAGTGAATGGAAGGAGGAAGACGACCACAAATGCCGCTCGTTTTCCCCAAGGAGTAACACACACATTCATAAGGGCGCTAACAAACTGAGAAGCGTTTGTCTTCTCATTACTACACCTATTTCACCCGTGGTTTTGCTGAGTCAGGGAAGCGTTAGGCAGCGCTGGCAGAGGGCAGCTGCCCACGCGTGGGTTTGCTCCATCCAGACCTGCAGGAACAACTCCGTTTTCTGACCAGCACCAGCCCTGTTTGCTCCTGCACATTTCGGTGCTCAGGTTCAGAGCCCAAAGGCACTGGGAGCAAACACCGCAGCCTCTCCCTTCTTCCCCAATTTGCCACCACCAAGCCCTGCCATGGTGTGCCCCAACACCTCCCGAGCACCCAAAACCACAGGGCTCGACGCCTCGGGCACGAGGGAAACGCATACTCAAAAGGCCTGGGCAGGACCGTGTTAAAACAGACACCAGAAGGGCCAAGGGGAAAGAAAGAAGAGCCACGGGCAGCGTGCAACGCGCACGAGGAAATCATTAGAAAGTACTCAGCTATTTCCTTGAAGATTTTAGCTTGCCTTCGGGAAGGCTGCCCAAACTCATGGCACACGTGAGCAGGACACCAGTGACAGCACCCGAAAACCTTTGAGAGCAACGTCCTCCACGAGCCCCACCTTCACACCCCATCAGCGGTGCCCGGCACCTCCCGGCCTCCACGTGGCCCTAAGAGCACGGTCAGCACCATTAGGGACCCCTAAAGAGCCTGCACTGTGGCTGGTGAGACTTCAAAGCAGCCCAATCTACCCTACCCAAACACAAAATACTCACCCATTAATAGACTCAACAGCTTTTGAACTCTGGAGTTCACTCCAACGATTCGGTAGAGCCCTTGCTCGTTGATCCCTAGGAAGAATCAAGAGTGTATTAGGAGGAAGTCAAAAGAGCTGCTGACATTGCTCTCATTTCTTTGGCTTCCCTAATAGCAAAAATAATTAAACCCTCTCACCAACTACACACAAAATTATAGAACAGGCTAAAACTCGGGGGTGGTGTCATCCAGATGCTAACAAAATAGCATATGAATGGTCTGGAAGAGATTCAGGGGAAGGATTGAAATGCCCATCTGTTTGTTGTCCCACACAAGAGGAAGTGCCTTGCAGTGGGACGGCATGAAGGGGTGCTCAGAGGCAGCCCCAGCTCTGGTCCCTGTCCCCATTTAGCACATCCAGTGCATTATTCCCCACCTCTGCCCCCTGTTAACTGCCCCCTGCTAACCCCAACCACGGGCAAACGCGTCTGGGCACGGGGATCTGCCCAAGCGCATCCCCGTGCTCACCCGATGGGGCTCCGGGGCTTCGTGACTCATTTCTGCTCATTAAAGAGCAGGTGAGCAGTTGTGATGCCCCAAAGAGCTGCCAGGCCCTCCCCCAAACCAGGACCCTCCCCCAAACCCCTCTACCTCTCGTCTCGACGGCGTGTATGCACTTCTTGATAATGCTGAAGCCGATGGTGTCCAGCTGGGCGGCTGCAAGGGAAGAGGAGAGAGAAGTGTTTAAACAAGGGGATGGCACCACCCTCACCCCATTCACCCTGCACCGCTGCTCCAGCGAGGGGGGAAGAGGAGGAGATGAATTGGGTGCTCATGGCAGGAAGGCGCCAGTGCAGGAGCTGGTACCGGGTGTGAGCCAGGCGAGCACAGGACATCCCCCATCACCACAGCATCCCCCAAAAGCAGCACCTCCCACGCCCAGGGCTGGCAGAGATTTACATCTGCAGCTGGCCAAAACATCAGTTTGGGATGGAGGTGAGGTGACCCAAAGAGACCTTCGTCTGGGACAACGGGTTGCTTGGGAAAAAACAAGCGAATCGTGCGTATTTTTGACACCACAAAACCTTACAGAAGGCTCCCAAGGCAGCTCGCTAGGTGAGTCCCAGGTAATTCCTATAACCAAGGCATCCGTGTGCTGGGGAGACGCCTCCATCCAGGCCATCCCCATCACCCCACACAGGGGACCACCACATATCTGGGGTACGGGACCGAGCTCCCCAGGGCAGGGGCCTGCGGTGCCTTGGATTTCTCAGCGCTTTTGAGGTGGTTTTGTGCAAATGCAGGTTTTTCTCAAGGCATTAAGGGACGGTAAAAGGAGATTCTGTAATACTGTCTCATGGTCACTACACGTTACTTCCCATTTACTCTTACTCTGTGCAATGTCACCCCTTGGCACCGCCCCTGCTCACACCATTTATTGAAACACGGATTCCCTCCGTGCTAAGCTGCCCCGCACAGTGCGCTCCCTCACCGACCGCGTATTTGGAGTCTCTGCTGGTGGAGGCTCCTGTTTGAAGGGCACAAGAACCTGACGAAGTCCAACAGCACCACAGCTCTGCTCTGTTTTTCTGGGCAAGCACATGAGTTGCAGGATGCCTGTGCCACAGGATGTGCGAATATCCAGAATATCCTTCGCTCCAGCACCGATTCCAACCAGACTCCAAGCACGGATGCAGCACAGAAATCCATGTGCCACCAACCAGTGGGGCACAGCCTGGCACAGCCCACAGCCCCAATAAACACCCGAGAAGCAAGACACCACGCTGTGGAAACCCTGTTGTACCAACAGACCCTGCTCAAACCCTGAGTGCTGGGTGTCCCTGCACGGTGCTGTCCAGCCAACACAACCAGTTCAGGCTCTCTGATGCATTTTAAGTGCCAACCCATTCTGTAAACCTGCAGTTTTCCCTCAGTCTCTTGCATGTCTGAACCTGCAAAGAGGGCGTCCTCCTGTGCAGAGCCGGGGCTTGGGACTGCACCTTCCCGCAGCGCTGGGCCCTGGCAGAGGTGGGAAACAGGAGGGCAGTGACCACGCGTGATCCCCCCAGATGCACGAATAAAGCCTGCCACTCGTCACTGAGTGCTGGATCAGGAAACGTCGGGGATTTACTTGTGGTAGTTATATCCAGAAATGACATCTGATTAAATAGTCAAAGTGCCTTCATTTATCCTTAAACTTAACTTTTAATGAGCACTGTAAAAGCTTGAGATCCTCACTCACAGCTTCTCATTATCTCACTCATTCCCCCAATGACTCGGTTCAGGAACAGCACGGATCAAAGCCAAATCTGTACCCATGGCTGTCCTGGTCCCTGCACTCACCCCAGCACAGCGACCCACAGCCCCGGATTGGGCTCAGCACCTCAGACCCCGCTTGGCCCCTGCGGGTCAGGCAGCGGGGGGCAAGGCAGGGGCAACCGGGGACTTTTTGGGGCTGCAGAGAGCAAATCACTGCACAGCTGAGCACAAATGCAGGGCCTGTGGTACCCTCCCCGTCCCCGCTCTCCACGCCCTGATGGCTCAGCAAGATCTGTTCAGCACACACACACACATATCTGACCTCCACATAGCCTCATATTGCTGGTGCTACTGAGCTGGTCTCATCCCGCTCTATTTTTGCCTGGCAGATTATTTCTATTTAATCCATTAATTCCTTTACTTTATGCTGATACGGCATATCAGAGCATCGGTAAAGAGGCAAGAGGACTGAATCAGCTCTGCTCAGCCTCAGGCAACCTTGCTGACTCCAGCTGCGTGCGTGTCGGTCACCGCAACGCAAGGTCAGAGCCAGCTCCTGGGCATGCCCCACCGCTCCTTCCTGTGCCCTCTAACGAGGTACCACGGCAATTACTGTTACAAACTCTATCAAAGACGTGATGGAATGAAGAGCCACGGAGAAAGGGAGGAACCGCGAAGCAGAGATCAGAGAGAAATGAGGTTTCAAGCCTTGCTTCAAGCTGCCAGGGCTGGGAGATGAAGACGGGTGGGAAGCGCCAGGTCACCCTGAGAAGCACAAGTGGATGTGGAAAAAGCAGAGGGGACAAATACAAGTGGCCCAGAGGGTTTGTTTCCACAGAGCAGGGCGAGTCCTCCTGGTTTGCCAACCATCGCATCGAAATCCTTCAGGCCCTGGGACCCGCTCGCCCCCACTGCTCCCTCCACGCTCCCAAAGAAGATTACGATAAATCAGCCCGCGGGGGCCATCTGGCCACACGGCAGGAGGGAAAACCCAACAGCTCTGCAAAATTAGAGAGCGGCCAAAAAAACAGCCCTTAGAGAGCAGCCAAAAAGCGGCCCTCGCTGCAGCCCTGCGAGCCTCCCAGCCCAGCCGCAGTACGGGAAGGAAGCAGAGGTATAGAGGGCTGCGGGGTCGGGAATTGCATCCGACGCTGCTCAATCACTGCCCGCACCTCCAGCCCCTGTAGGAAGCTCCCACGTCAGGGCTGCGTGGCAGAAAGCCAGTCCCCGAATCGATGTGAAGCGTGGCCGGTGAGGCGGGCAGCTCGCTGCAGACAGGGTTTAATGAGGTAAAGCAGTGTCTGCACACACCAGAGATGGCCCCGCTCGCAGGCGTATGGGAAAATAATTGTGGACAGACGGGGCCGGAGCGTTGCTACATGGGCAGCCCTCGGCCGAGGGTCCCAATGCGCTGCCAGGAGCAGAAAAGGGGGATTGGTCTCATTTTTAGGATGGACCATCAAAATGGAAGAGGCACCAACAGAAAAGAAACTTGGCCAAAGCCTCCTGGGTTGATTAAACCCCAGCTCCGTACCCGTCTGGTGAGGATGTGCAGGGAAAACCTTGGCATTTGGTGTCTTTGACAAAGTCTCGCTGTGCTTTGCCCAACGCTGAGCTGCCTGGGACAGAGGCACGATGGACACAGGGGCTGCAGCCACCACCACCACTGCACACAAACAGCGTCCGCAGCACCACAGGGTGGGGGGCAACCCACACAGGGGGCAACCTGCACCCCCACCTCAGCGCCCGATGGAGGGAGACACTGGAAAACCGGGATCAGACGACAGAAATAACCCAGGAAAGCCACGGGAGTGCTTTACTGGAGCTCCTGCCACCCCCTCGCTGCTCTGCAGGGTGGCTCCAGCCGCGGCCCCGGGAGGATTTCTGGCTGCCAGGACGTAAGATGGGAAGGTCACGCTTTGACAAGCGCCTCTTTCAGAAGCGGTCATTACTTCACCGATTGCTTCACCGAGCCTCCCTCCCACCCCCAGCATTCGCGTTCTCCCTGCTTTTGCATCACCCCTCGACAAAATTTAGAAAATGATTATTTTAACAGGTTTTCTGGAGCCAAACCACCGCGTAGTAGCACAGAGCAGTGACAGCTCACGGCCAGGCTGGCACAGAGCAGAGCAAGTCCTGTGGTCCGGGCCTCAAAAACCTCATTTTGCCCTGCTCTAGAATGGAGAAGATGGAGCTGTTCCACACAGAGCTCGTACCCAGCAGGGCCGTGAGCATTGGGCGAGATGAACGTGCAGCTGATGGCATGGAGGAGCAAAGGGAAGGGAGAGCAGAGAGGAGGAAGAGCCTGTTTTGTGCAAGGGCTGAAAATGGGTGCGAGGAGCATTATCTGCAAATTACACCTATTATCCTGGGAAAAAATGCTTCTGCTCGAGAGGAAAATGCGCTGTCTTGAGGCAGCACAGAAATGAACTATTTACTAACCAGCACCCCGGGCTGGGCTCCCGCGTGGCCGACGGCTCTGGGGGAAGGAGGGAAGGGACCGGAGTTCTGAGTACCCAATTATGGCAATTCAAACCAACTGGGAAATGGCTCAATTAAAGGGTTTGAAACGCAGGACATAAGAGCCAGGCCCAGGTGCAACTGCTCCTCCAGGAAGGAAAACAAGTGCTGTCTTGACTCGGGCCTTTGATTGCCCCAACTACAACAAAAGCAGCTTTTGTGTCTCTAGGGGCTGCTGTTGACAATCCCGATGAGGCAGGACCTCCTTACGCTTCATATTTTCGCTCCCATTCCCCTTTGGGAATGGCACTTCCATCCTCCACATTCTGGCTCAGGAAGGAAGCTGCTTGGTCCCAGATGTCACCGGCACCCCTCGGCTCCCATAGGCAAAAAACACCGGTCCCAGGGCAAGCCTGCACCCCAGGGACACCAGGGTGCGGGGTGGGCAGGAGGTGATGCCCCCAAAGTGGCAAGGGGACAGCTTGGCACCGCTCCCCATGGCCCCAAGTTTCTGCACCAGTTCCCTGCTGGGTGTCAATTTGGCTCCTCCCCAGGGCCACCCTGCAGTCCCCACGCTGAGCCCCGTCACCCCGCACCCCTGGGGAGCACAGGGCAGCGTGGTGTCACCCCCATCAGCAGCGCAGCCTCTCCAACGACCCCCCCAGAACCCTCACACCACAACGCCACCTTTGCAGGGCTCTGGCTTGAAGGGCGATACTCACTGCCTTCGCTTTGGTTGTCCTTGTTGGAGTTGTAGACCTGGAAAACACAAGGAGAAAGGCTTATGAGACCCTGCTCCAGCCAGGAAGGGACCGCTGACACCTCTGGTGTCACCCTGACCGGTGACAGCCTCAGG